CATTGGATATTTTGAAATGACATGCGTAATGCATCTGAAGACATCCCACACTTTTGCAATCCAATTTTACATCAGCGTAATTCAATGACAATGAAGCTAGATACTGTAAAACTTCTGGCAGCAAAAATAGTTTGTACGGGAGCAAAGAAATGAATGAAAACACTAAGCTGTGAGTTGGCTTGGCTGGCCTCTCTGTGCAAAACTGGGCTAAGCAGGGCTAGAGTGGCAGATGGTAAAACACTGTGCCCCAGCTCAAGAAGTTTGTAACAGGCAGCAAAAAAGTACTGTTTCCAAAAACTTTCCAGATGTCCTCTAGTGGCATTTTTTACTACTTATTAGATACTTTTTAAATAAATAAAATTAAAACTTTTTCACACAGTGACCATTGACATAATTAGGTTTAATGGTAATATGTCAAAAACATGTATGGCACGAAAAGCATCCCAAAAATGTTAAATTGTTTAGAAATGTGTTCAGTGCAGTGAAGGATCAACATTTTGATTTTTGATGTGGTGCTGAGTGAAATCCAATCAAAATCAACATTTTTCAAAATCAACATTTTTACAGACTTGTCCTGAAAATGTGAAAAAAAATAAAGTTTTTCTTTAACTTGAACTTACTTGCTATTGTTCTACTCATTTTATGTGCGTTAAAAAAGGCACTAAATAAATGAGTGCATGTTTCACACAAAAAAAGACACAGCTTGAACTTGAGACTTTACGAAACAGCTCTAACCACTGGGCAACCGTGCTGCTAATTTAAAACATGTAACAACGAAGTCGTAAATTTTCTAGCAGTACATAAATACAGTATTTAATTTTTCGTAGTAACCATTAGAAAAACTGAAACAGTTTTATAAAAAGCTTTAAGGTCATGCAACTAACATTAATCAGTGAAACATTTTGGTATTCTTAAAAATGAAATGAAAAATCAAACACTGCACTTTCACACAGCTACAAATAAACCAGAACCATTAGAAATGTAACTTCCATTAGCAATGCAACTTATATAGCAATGCAACTTATATGGCAATGCTAATCAAAACGGTGTTTTCACATATTTATGGATAAGTCCATCTATTGCTCCTAAGCTGACTCTGACAGTCGTTTGGTGCTTCAGAGACGACAAGTGAAAGTCTCCTTCCTGTGTAGGTGAGGATGTGACATCTAAGTGATGGTGGAGAGTCTGCTGCTCTGAGGAACGAACACGGCAGTTTTGTGTCCCAGTTTGAGGCTTTGCTTCCTCGTTAGACGTTGGCTCCGTGTGTTTTTGGATGACAATTTTTTTCAGGACAGAAGACAACTGAGGACTCAGGAGAACAACCAGGATGCCACCAAGTCGAAGGACTCTACATTAAAAAATATTCTAAAATTAGTTGCAGTTTAAACACATATTATTTACATTTTTATTTGACCAATTTTGCAGCACTTTAAATGTTTTACAGTAGGGATGCAAGATATTATTGGCATGTATCTGTATCGGCCGATATTAACGATAAAGTTAAATATAGGACATTCCATCAAAAAAAAAAACGAATCAGCCAAAATCCAGTATTGTGCATCCCTATTTTACAGTAATATCATTCTCAACCAAACAAAATGGCACACAGAGAAACAAACCTCTCCATCTCACTGAGGATGAGGGGAAGATCAGCAGCCATGTTTGTTTTTGAACCAAACTTTCTGCCAAATGGCAGGTCACAGATGACAGCATCTACACTGGAGCTAGGCAGAGGCAGGACTGCTCACACAGAAAGGACACACGAGACAAAACCTACGTCATTTGTGACACAAGAAAAACAAAAACCACAATTCATGGATGGGTTAAATGCAGAGACTAATTTCGCCATTGTATGGAAACATACAGTGCTGACATTGTGATGACATTATTATTATTATTATTATTATTAAACTATTTCAGACATTTATTTTCACCTAAAAAGGCGAGATAGTTACAATTAAATTATGTCGGACATTTTTGTGCACAATCCACTTTAACATAATACGGAAATTTTAATCAATAAAAACTCGTTCCTATTTTGCAAATAAGTTATACAGGAAATATGTGTTTGACAATGAGTCAAACATTTATCTTCGATAAAAACAAAAAGACATTTACTGTGTTACACATAACTAGTCCAAGCACTCCATGTCTCTATAAATGGAAAGCAGTATAGTATCTGCTTTAAGGCTTTGCTTATTTCTGCAGGTTTCCTACCCATAGATGAAGCTTTCAGCAGGTGCACTCTGCCCCCCAGCTCTGCAAACACTATGTTCTCACTGGCTTTCTGCAGCTGTCCATCATCAATGTCCACACCCAGGAAGCAGGCAGCCTAAAGGATCCCAGTGACAAATGTTCACCACATTATAAAGGTGTTGCTGAAATTGCTCTAAAACAAACAAGACATATTAATCAGCTAAAAGCGTATTGGGTTTTATTGCACAACTTTCTCTGCCTTAACTGAAACGAGACGTTTTCTAAGTTGTTTCCTGTTTTATTTTTAAACTCCGCAGTCATTGCACATATCTGTGCACCAACCTTGTGTTCTTGCGCAGCTTCAATTAAGATGGTTCCCATTCCACACATTGGATCGACTACACTGAAGCCTGGCTGGAGAACAGGAGACAGAAAACAGTCAAATAAACCTCAAACAATGAGTCTGTTACAACAAGGCAATTAAATGCTTCATGCAGCTGAATGGTCACATTAAATAAATAAACATATTGTATATAAAGACAAATTAAAAAAACTTGCTTGCAATATTTAATAAAAATGTTTTTACATGCTTAAATAGACATTTTTAAAAAAAATTAAAATAACTTATAAAGGAAATGGAACGAGGCATCCTGCAGCTTACTTGTATCTGAGCTAACGAGGCCATGGCCCAGGCTATTGTAGACCTCAGACCTGGGGTTTTAATGTAACTGCGGTTAGCCAGAGGAACCCTGAGAGCAAAGTGAAAGCAATGTTATTAATCAACGCTTTTCAATTCAAATAAAGCCACAGGACGGAACAATTACATGTGCAAACGTTATGTTTAAATGCAAGCATTTTTAATTAACTCAAGCATAACTGTTAATATAAAAGGTGCAATGCAGTAATACATATTATGAAAAAATAGATTTGTGGCAAAGCATGTACTATCAGAAACGCTTATTGTTTTACTAAATTGAACTTTCAATGACCATAAATAATAATAATAATTACCTGGTCAATGGGATCCCCAGCAGGCAGTAGTCATCACTCAAATTGACATTTATCTACATTAAAAAACAAACCAGACCATGAAAGGGCAGAAACCAGTGTTTGATTATTTTAAAATTATTAGACAAAGTAAATAACCCAGTGAGCAGAAAATTACCCATAAATATATAAAATAAATAAATAAATAAATAAATATAAGGTTTACCTCCAACTGAGGATTCTTGAGCTCAGCCTTCCACCCCAGTAGTCTGCTTAAACCTGCACCCATTATTTTGCTTACCTCCTATAAAGATATAGTCATCTTATTAGCATTTGCTAAAATTGCATATACATTAAATATCAAGGTCTTTTCTGGGGGCATGTGATGTGTTTGTGTTCTGCTGGAAGATTAAAATATCTCATGCCCGCTCAAACAGCTGATGCAGGGATCATCCCTTTTACTTTTTTTTCTGAATATAATGACTTTACAATAAGTAATTTGTAAACTTTAAAGCTCTTTGTATAAACTGAACACATCGTTTACACTCACAAAAACGATGACCATAGATAAGAAAAATGGAATTTACCTGTGCACTGAGGCACTTGGAAAGTGAACCACTGCGCTTGCAGTTAATCCTGAAAGAAACTGATATTAAAAAAAGAAGAAGACAGAAGTGGATTTGTTCGTGAGCTTTCAGGACTGTCTTATTTTTACAGAAGTTACGTCTCAATTGAATCTTCTTACCATTTTCCAAATATTTAGATTTTATATCTACTCCCAGGTGATTTGTTGTCCTGTTTTCCACAGTATGTTCCAGGCCTGTTGTTGTGTGATCCGCTCTAACGCCTTTAAAGTCCGATTCATTTTGCTCTCCATCTTTCTCTCTACTACTCTCAATATCTACAACTAGTAGATTATTTACAACACTTACGTCCTGAAGTCCCTCTTCTCCTGCCTCTCTGTTATTATCCTCCTCTCTTTCCCCTTTCAGAGTCTGTGATCCATTTTGCTCGTCACTTCTCAGCCTCTTATTCTCACTCTCCTCCTCTGTCAGTTCTCGTGTACGCTTCCTAGACTCCAGAAAGCACTTTCCCTCCTCTTTATTCTGATCCTCGCTCCCACTGCCCTCTTTCTTCACTTTCTCCCTCAAGGCAGTTCTTGGTGTTTTATCAGCATTTCTGCTGGCTGCCAGTTCCCCCTGCAGGCGGCTCCATGTCATTACAGCACTGCTCCACTGATTCTTGTCCCCCAGCAACCTGGATTGCAGCAAAGAAGAAGCCTTTGCTATGGATTTAACAGAAAAGACAATAAAAATGTCACTCCTTTATATTGAATATATTCCAAAATATTGTCCTGATGCATGCTCAATAATCCAGGTCGACAGATCTAACAAGGTTGAGTCAGGTCCTCTGGACGGACTCTTCTTCTGGAGGGAAGAATCCATCCAGAGGATTTGTTAGATTCCAAAATATTGCTCATGTGTTTGAATACATATTAATATTTCTGTAATAGGACAATACCTGGACTATAGTAAGAAGACAGTCTCAAAGGTGAGTCTTCCTTCAACAGCAGAAAGAGCCTTTCTGCAGCTTTCAGGCTACTGACTCTGTCAATTGAGGCAGAGGAGTTGAACAACACCTTGCCTGGAATCTGACATACCTGGACAAAAAAATATTATAACTGTTAGTCATCTTGGCAACAAATAATAAAAAAAAAGCAACAAACTCTGATCTGGGAATTTCTTGATCAAAAAAGTTATTACCGGTAATTAAAATAGGCAAAATTATATAAAGCCAAGTCCTCCACACCCCACATCTATACAGTATCTGAGCTTCTAAACAGAACTGCATTACATTTCAAAGAAACTGGGAAAGCATAAATATCAGATAGATAAAACTTTGGTGTTGACATAATAAGAAAATCTACCAATGCTTTAAAACACATATAGCAATATAACAATGAATCTTTAAATATTAGGCAAAGTAATTTTTAAAATTGAACACTAACCAAATCTCCATAAAAACATTAAAGTAAAACTTAAAAAGAAAAAATACTTTCAAAACCCAGGCTTGAGAGCTCTGAAAACATAATTTTTTCATTCAACCTTTATTTAAACAGATAAATCACATTGAGCCTCGAAGACTCATTTAAAAGTGAGAACTGTTAATTAGCAGAAACTGTAGTGTTTAATTTTTAATGCAAGACAGAGAACCTTCTAGATATGTTTAAACTATATTAACACTTATACAGCTGCAGCTGTGTGAGTGATATACTGCTACACTTTGTATTCCTTAAGTTACAACAGATTCAAAATTTGTTTGCAATAAGTTGAAAATGTAAGTTTTTTTATTAACAGAAAATGGAGGACTCAGTTTAATTGTAAATATCGTCATAGAACATTCAGCAACAGCTGTTTATCTTAACCTCGACCCCTCAGTCACTTCCAACTTCCGGCATGTCTCCAAACTCCCATTTGTTTCTAAAATACTGGAGAAAATAGTTGAGTCCCAGTTGAAGTGCTTCCTGGAAGGTCACACCATCTTAGAGCTTTTCCAATCTGGCTTTAAACCTCTCCACAGCACTGAAACTGCCCTGCTGAAGGTCTTTAACGACATCTTCAGATTCACAGATACCGGTGATTCTGTGCTGCTTGTCCTGTTGGACCTCACAGCCGCCTTTGACACCATCGACCATGAGATCCTCATTGCTAGGTTGGAGCAGTGGGTGGGCGTCACAGGATCAGCCCTCAATTGGTTCAGATCTTACCTCACTGACAGATCCTTTTGTGTCTCCATCAAGGATTTTAGTTCCGCAGAGGCAGAGCTTAAATGGGGGGTTCCGCAGGGGTCCATACTGGGTCCACTCCTATTCTCTTTATACCTCCTGCCGCTTGGTGCTATTTTCCGGAAACACAACATGCCCTTCCACTTCTATGCCGATGACTGTCAAATTTACTTCCCCCTAAGATACAATAGTACATGCTCTATTCAACCGCTGCTCAACTGCCTGGCTGACATCAGGGACTGGATGGCTTTAAACTTCTTAAGTTTCAATGAAAAGAAGTCTGAAGTCATGTTGTTCCCTCTCAATGACACGATCACAAACCACTGTATAGACCTCTCCGCTCTAACCCTGTCAGAAAAACAAAGAGTCACTAATCTGGGCGTGATAATGGACCCTTCCCTGAAGCTTAACAATCACGCTTCTTCCAACTGAGGCGGCTGTCTAAACTGAAGCCCATATTGTCCAAAAAGAACCTGGAGACAGTAATACATGCATTCATTACATCTAGGCTTGATTACTGCAATTCGCTCCTGTTTGGTATCAGTCAGACCTCCATTGCACGACTACAACTGGTCCAGAATGCAGCAGCCCGATTTTTAACCAGTACAGGCAAAAGAGAGCACATTACACCAGTTTTGGCCTCACTGCACTGGTTACCAGTTCACTTTCGAATCCAGTTCAAAATTTCAAAATACTCATGTATGTCTACAAATCACTGAACA